CCCGGATTTTGGGGTCAGGGATGTCCCAGTTCAATCCCAGTTCAATCCCAGTTCAATCCCAGTATGATCCCAGCACACACACGCTCATTTATTGTAATTTCATCCCAAATTTCCGGGATTTTTGGGATGAATTCTAGGATTTTGGGGTGAATTCCGGGATTTTCGGTGCATTCCCGATTTGGGGTGAATTCCCGGGATTTTGGGCTCACAGGGGCTCCTCGCACACCCAGCTCAGGGGGGTCCCGCAGGGAAACTCGGCCCGGAGCCCGTCCGGCCCCACGGCCCCGCACTTCTCCAAACTGCCCAAAGAAAAGGGAAAAAAAGGGTCAGAATCCCAAAAAATTCCAAAAAATCCCTAAAATCCCACAAACCCCAGCCCAAATCCCCCAAAATCCCATAAACAACCCCAAAAAACCCATAAAAACCCCATAAATAACCCCAAAAATCCCATTAAAATCCCATAAATGACCCCAAAAACTCCATTAAAAATCCCATTAAAAATCCCATAAATGACCCCAAACACCCAATTAAAAATCCCATTAAAAAATCCCACAAATGACCCCAAAAACCCCATTAAAAATCCCATTAAAATCCCATTAAAAATGCCACAAATGACCCCAAAAACCCCATTAAAAATCCCATTAAAAATCCCATAAATGACCTCAAAAATCCCATTAAAAATCTCATAAATTACCCCAAATACCCCATTAAAAAAATCCCATAAATGACCTCAAAAACCCCATAAATGACCCCAAATATCCCATTAAAAAACCCCATAAATGACCCCAAAAATCCCACAAATGACCACAAAACCCCCATTAAAAATCCCATTAAAAACCCCGTAAATGACCCCAAAAATCCCATTAAAAATCCCATTTAAAATCCAAAAAATCCCATTAAAAACCCCATAAATGACCCCAAAACCCCCATTTAAAAACCCATTTAAAAATCCCATAAATCCCAAAAACCCCCAAAAAATCCCCCAAATCCCCAACCTGGATTTGGGGTCGAGCTCGCGGATCCAGGAGGGGCCCCGGAGCTGGGCCTGGACGTGGAGCTGGGAACCGGAACGGACCAGTATGGACCAGTATGGACCAGTATGGACCAGTATGGACCAGTAT